TCAAACTCCGCCGCCCACGTGGTGTCAGTATGGCGTGATTTGATGGCCAACCATTGTCACGTCTCTTGCTTTTTCCTTCCATGTCGTCTCTCTTCGTCTCTCCCCGTCTGTATTCAATGCGCGCTCTGCTTCCCGCCAACATGCCCAAGCCTTATCCAACCATCTTGAAGTCCTCCCAAGCATCCTTGACCTCTCAACAACCTCAAGCCCTCAGACTGTATGTCTCACACACCCCGGTATTCACGGTGCGACAATTATTTATCACTCTGTATGCACACCTATGTCGAGATGAGTGGCGGTATATGTACCTGTGGAGCACTGGAGGCGGCATCGGCGTCGGCATTCATGTCGATGTCGGATCGGGAGACGAGTCGCACGTCGCGTCTACATGTCTTCGGGAGGGCGCCCGTTCGTGCGATGGGCGGCGCGGAGGGGGTATGCACACCCGCCCTTCTTGCGTTTCAGGGAACGACGCTGGGCCGGCATGCGTAGGCGTCGGTGTCGGGGAATGCGGGGGTGTATTCGGAAAGGTGAGCTGTATCATCATTGAGGGCTCAATTCATGTAGTAAGCAGTAGTAATGTAGAAAATACATATGTTTCTTTAATCTCGTGTGTATCTTTCTGAGTGAGCTGCGATCCTGGTGAGCGGGTGGAGCCGGCAACACCTGGCACCATTTTTCTGATGCGATGGCAAGCTGGGTGAGACACTAGCTGCCCAGGGAGTGCCCTTGGAATTTGGATGCCTGAACCATTGGAATCCGAAGAGCTGCCTATTTACTGGGATTCAGTGATCTGCCCATTGAAATCCGACGGGCATCAAACCCATCGAATTCCAAGGTTTGCCGGGATAGCCGTGTAGTAGGAGAACTTCGAACGACACTAATATAGGGTCAAATTGATTAGTGGCTCTTCCATGGCATCTAGAAATGTGGTAGAGCATGATCACTAGTTCAAAGTTTGGGTCGACTTGCAGCCAACTTACCTCCATAAAGCACTGCCACATTGAATTAAAAACAGGCTCTCTGGCCCAGGGATATAAAAACAGGGTTTATAAACACATGTTTATAAACATGTTTATAAACCAGCATAAAAAACAGAGCCCTAGTCGTCGCTCCCTTTTCCAGCATCGACCAGTATCAATTGAGGTCACGGAGGTTCGAATCCTCCTCAAGGCCATTCGTTGCAGGATTAGAGATTTTTGCGTAGCCCGTTTACCACCTATGCCTCCTCTGTGATTCTTGCTCACATGTTCATGTGCAAACCGAGTAGCTTGAAGCCTTTGTTGATTATCAGATAACACCTCAGCATGATTATACTCGGACAATGTGCCAATTGAAGTCATGAAGCCCAGTGAGAATCCCTTCTGCTGGGATACGCCCAGATCTGCTCAAATCTGCCCACCCAAAGAGCGGCAGAAATGCGCAGATCTGCGCAGAAATTTGGCCCTATAGCAGATGAGCACATATGCGCGCATCTGCTCGTGTCCGCCCACTTATGCTCAGAACTGCCGCCAGCTGTTCACCTCTGCCCTCCTATAACCCCAGCCATTCCCGCCCTTTATATTGGAAAAATCATATTATTATTCAATTAACTACGACACGATTCATGATACTAAGTCGCGCGCCCCTTCCGCGGCCAACGCGCTCATTCTCCACACTCCGCTGATGCAACAGGCGCCGCGTCGCCGGAGAAATTCGCGAGAACAAGTCTTGGGGGCGTGTAAACGTGATCGAAGCAGATAACTGGGCACAAGTCAGTACATGCACCTTCTTTGGATTAGAGAAACGCACCGTGCGCCGTCCAAGTCGAAAAAGGAGGCATGCTCATGACACAGGACGGATGGTGGTTGCTGCAAGGAGCTCCCGGGAGTCAGCGCAAGCAATAATTGGGGATGATAATTACATACAAGAGCCGCTTCGTGTCGAGTACCACGGGAATGAGGCGCGTCGCCAAGGGTGGGTGGAGGCGACGAGAAGCACAACATCACAGAGGAAATTAGAAGGACCGGAAGGGACTGTGGCAGAGGCTCACCGCTAACATGTCCAAGCGCCCGCCGGATCCGACCAAATTTGATGTCGCGAAGTCTATGGGGTCTTTCACGATGAACATCCTAGCGGGATAGTAGTGAGCTTCGAGTCATAAATCGACGACGACTGCAAAGAGCTACATTCAGCGCCGCTCCAGTCAAGGCCGACAATCGCTTACAAATGGCAGTGGCGGCGCCAGCTGTCGACATCTTCACATCGGATACAACAGAATGGAGTGTATCAGAGAGAAGCTCTAACGGAAGGTGGGATTGATACACACTCACTTGGATAGGGATAAGCGAACGTCAACGCCGATACGCGCGGTGTGGCGCGTGGGTTTTGATGAGTCGCGCTCGAATTCCGGGTGACACCAAACTGTGAGGAGTCGTAGTTGATCGTAGATGTCGTTAGCATCGTCTTGACGCGTAAGAATCATTCCTACCACACGCAGAGCATTTGGATCGAAATCTTGATTGAAGTACTCACTTCGCCTCACGCACGACGCGTCAGACAACCGGGAAGGGTATCTTCAGTGTAGAAAAACGAGTCAGTTGCACGATAGGCGGTAAAAGACGCGTCAAACGATGTTGTGTGTGGCGTCGCGTCGCTCAGGAAGGACTAATTCGGAGCAGTAAGAGCGAGAGGGAACGTCAGTATATGGAATGAGACTCCTGACGGGGAAGAGGGCGTCAAAGAAACGGGAGAGTGGGAGAAGAGCGCGGGCGGGCGGGGAGAGACGGGGATGGTGGAGGTAGGAAGCAAGAGGCATTTCAAACTCCGACTGATCCCCCGTTCTAGCTGGTCCGTGCGCGCGCATCGGTTCCGGCAGCCCTCCATCACTGCGAAAATTCTCAAACTCAGTTCCGCGTCATTCCGCTGAGTAGGGCAACTGAAAAGGGACGAGAATATTAATTTCTGCTGTTGACAGATTCCGGCAGATTCGAGCAGATTTTTGCCAATGTTCGGCAGATTCGAGCAGATCTAGGCAGACGTGGACATAAGGACTTTTCACTGGGCATGAAGGTTCGAATCCCCCGAAGGCACTTGTTCCGCAAGATCCTTTTTTTTGCACGGCCCATTTACCACTCATGCCTCCTCGGTGATTGTTGCTTACATGTTCATGTGCAAACCAGGGTAGCTGAAAGCCTTTGTTGATTATTGGATATCACCTCAGCATGATTTTACTTTGGAAAACATGCCAATTGGGGTCACGGAGGTTCAAATCCTCTCGAAGGCGCTTTGTTGGCGAAATCACAATTTTTGCATGGCCCGTTAACCAGCACAGCTGTGTGTGCAGAGAACAGGATTCAGACCTTCATTAATGTGTGAACACGTCAGTCACGTTCAAAATGAGAACCATTCATATAGTTTATGCAGGTTGGAATCTTGTCAAAGGCACTAGAGTCTCGAAGGCTCACCACATTTTTTTTTTGGCCTTTTGTATTCTACTCGCTTGGTTGAGGACCACACAGGGTTTGAAAAGCCTTTGTTGATTACTGGAAATCACCCTGCCTGAATGGGGACTGTTTTCCGAACATACATGGCCCAGGGGTAAGGAGGTTCGAATCCACCCAAAGGCATTGGTCGGTTTGAATTCAGTCTTTTTGCATGGCCCTTTTACATCTATATGCAGAGAAAAGGATTCAGGCCTTTGTTGATTATCACGATCACTTCAGGCCCATAATAAGAATACACATGAAGATTGAATCCTGTCAAAGGCTCTAGAGTCTAGAAGGTTCACCACAATTTTTCTTTTTGTAATTCCTCACCTGGTGGAGGATCACACAGGGTCTGAAAAGCCTTTGTTGATCACTGGAAATCACCCCGCCTCAGTAATAGCTATAAGTGAACATACATGACCCGGGGGTAAGAGGGTTCAAATCCTCCCAAAGGCATCCATAAGAAATCCCAAGCCATTTTTCTTTCTTTCTGGAAGGCAACAACCTAACTTCCTCGATTTGATTGGTAGCAAGTGGGTCTGGTAGGTCCATATAGAATAATTGATAGAGGCAGTTCTTTCTTTCAAGACTGGCTAGTTATGCCTCCTCTGTGATTGGTGCTCACATCTTAATGTGCAAACCACGGTAGCTGAAAGCCTTTGTTGATTATTGGATATCACCTCTGTACAATTACTTCGGACAATGTACCAATTGGGGTCACGGAGGTTCGAATCCTCCCGGAGGCATTATAAATGGGGTCAATTTTTTTTTTGGCCTGGGGGGAAAACTTTCCATTAAAGTTCTATCTCCTGGACGTAATTTCTGTTCACTTGGTTAAGGACCATACAGGGTCTGAAAAGCCTTTGTTGGTTACTGGAAATCACCCTGCCTAGTGCAGTTTGACATGATTGGGTAAGGAGGTTCGAATCCTCCCAAAGGAATTTGTGTTGAATTCTGTCTTTTTGCATGGCTCGTTTACTGGCACATCTTTGTTTGCAGAGAAAAATTCAGGCCTTTGTTGATTATTACGATCACTTCAGCCGCATAATGAGAATACACATGAAGATTGAATCCTGTCAAACACAAGACTCTCGAAGCTTTACCACAATTTTTTTGGCCATTTGTAATTTCTGCTCACTTGGTTGAGGACCACACACTGTAGGGTCTGAAAAGCCTTCGTTGATTACTGGAAATCACCCTGCCTCAGTAGTATTGCTAGGTGAGATTATATGGCCCAGGGGTAAGGAGGTTCGAATCCTCCCAAAGGCATTTGTAAATGAAGTTGAAAACTTTTTCCCCCGCTTCTCGAAAATTGAAAGAAAAAATGACAATGGTCTGACTGGGGAGACTAGATGAAATCACATATCTCTTTTTTTTTGAACCTTGAACTCAGCAACTTGACTTATTGAAATTGATTAATAGCAATTGGGGCTGGTAGGTTGATGTACAATAATCGATAGAGGTGATTTTAACAGGGTACTTATGCCTCCTCTGTGAGCTCACATATTTATGTGCAACCCTGGGTAGCTGAAAGCCTTTGTTGATTAATGGATATCACCTCAGCATGATTGAATATGGGAAACGTGCCAATTGAGGTCACGGAGGTTCGAATCCTTCCGAAGGCAGTAATTTGTGAATTCTGCATTTTTGGGCCTGGTGGGAAAACCTTCCGTTATGCACTGGATGAAAATTTTGAGTTTTTCACTGAAAAAATTGATGAAAAATGTTCATTATTTTTCACACCTTTATTCACTGAAAAATTGATGAAAATTTCAAATAGTTTTTCAGTACTTTTGAGACTGAGAATCGAGGTGAAAAATTTGAAATAAAATTCATGAATTTTTCAGCAAGAGTAATACCAATAATACATACACATTTTCATGTGAAAATGTTAGTGAAAAATTCAAAACATTTTTCACCAAAATTTATAAAAAGTGTGAAAAATCCTTTTGCAAGTGAAAATGTTGGTGAAAAATGTTTTGAATTTTTCACTAACATTTTCACATGAAAATGTGTATGTATTATTGGTATTACTCTTGCTGAAAAATTCATGAATTTTATTTCAAATTTTTCACCTCAATTCTCAGTCTCAAAAGTACTGAAAAACTATTTGAAATTTTCACCAATTTTTCAGTGAAAAATGTCTAAAAAATAATGAAATTTTTTCACCACTTTTTTCAGTGAAAAACTCGAAATGTTCATCCAGTGATGTGTAGGTTGTACCAGCACCTCTATGCATTGCGGAGGAAAGGATTCAAGTCTTCATTGAACACTGAGTAATATTGACAAGGGCTTTGAATTTTGAATTCCCGGCAATCTCAACATTTCCCAAGACACCCAGTTTTCCCAATGTAAGTTCTCCCACATGTCCATCTTCTGGATTGTAATTCCTGCTCACTTGGTTGTGGACCACACAGAGTCTGAAACACCTTTGTTGATTACTAGAAATCACCCGCCTCAGTGATAGTTGTGACTTACGTGGCCCGGGGGTAAGGGGGTTTGAATCCTCCCAAAGGTATGATTCTTAAAGCCTTCTTTTCTTTTCTTTTCTTTTTCTTGAACCTTAAACTCAACACCTAACTGAATTTGATTGGGTCTACTAGGTCGATGCTACAATAATTGATATAGGTGATGTTTTTCTTTTCAAACCGCTACTCACAGGATGCCTCTGTTGATTGTTGCTTATATTTTCATGTGCAAACCAGGGTAGCAGAAAGCCTTTGTTGATTGGACATCATCTCAACCGGATTACTTGTAGAACCCATCACCGGATACTAATTGAGGCCATGGAGGTTCGAATCCTCCTGAAGGTGTACAACACGGGATCAGAGATTTTTGCTTGGCCTCTTTACCACTTATGCCTCCTCTGCTCACATATCCATGTGCAGCCCGGGGTAGTAGAAGCCTTTGTTGATGATCGGATATCGCCTCAGCATGATTTTACTTTGGAAAACATGCCAAATGGGGTCACAGAGGTTCGAATCCCCCCAAATGCACTTGTCCTCCAGAATAGCATTTTTTGCATAGCCTGTTTACTACTCATGCCTCCTCTGTGATTGTTGCTCACATGTTCATGTGCAAACTGGGGTCTGAAAGCCTTTGTTGATTAATGGATATCACCTCAACTAGATTGCACGTGTGTCAGCCAGTATCAATTGAGGTCATGGAGGTTCGAATCCTCCGGGCTAGGGTTGAGCACGGGTCCGGGTCCGGGTACAAACGAGCCGACCTGGACCCTGACCCGCAAAAACCCCAACCCGAACCCGCGGGTTTACGGGTTGAGAACGGGTCTCGGCTAGCCTATGCCAGGCGTGATCCGGCGCTGATCCGAGTCCTGGCGGCCAACGGCATGTCATTTTTGGCCAAAATCTTGATGTTTCAAGTGAGTTTTGACTCCATACGTGTCCTATCCATGGGGTTCTACCTATCACATCACTTCTTTCTTGATTTTTACAAGAATTAATTGCTATTTTCGGCTTTATTACAGTATCCGCCGAGTACCCGCGGGTTTCGGGTCTAGAAAAGTGCTGACCCGCGACCCGTACCCAGCTGACCCGACCCGTAAACCCGTCGGGTTTACCCGTACCCGTGCTCTTCCCTAATCCTCCCGAAGGTGCTTGTAATCCAGACTTGCATTTTTTGCATGGCCCATTTACCACTCATGCCTCCTCTGTGATTGTTCCTCACATGTTCATGTGCGAACCGGGGTTGCTGAAAGCCTTTGTTCATTATTGGACATCACCTCAGCATGATTGAATGTGGGAAACATGCCAATTGGGGTCATGGTGGCTCGAATCCTCCCGAAGGCACTGATTTGGGATGCCTGCATTTTTTGGCCTGGCGGGAAAACTTTCCATTATAAGAGGACTGAAACCTTCATTGGGCGCTGAGTAATATTGCCAAGGGCTCCGAGTTCTGGATTCCCAATAATCCCAACATTTCTACCCACTTTTCCCAATGTGAGTCCATCTCCTGGACTGTAATTCCTGTTCAATTGGTTGAGGACCACACAGGGTCTGAATAACCTTTGTTGATTACTGGAAATCACTCCGTCTCAGTAGAACGTGTTCGATTAGAATACATGACCCGGGGGTAAGGAGGTTCGAATCCTCCCAAAGGCATCACCAGAAACAACCGAATCCCATTTTTTTATTCTTCCTTTCCGGAACCCAACAACCTAACTTGTTGAATTTGATTAGTAGCAAGTGGCGTGCAATGCTACTATAATTTATAGAGATGATTTTTCTGCTTTTCAGACTGCTACTCACAGGATGCCTTTGTTGATTGTTGTGCAAATCCATCCGGAAACCGGGGAAGCAGAAAGCTTTTGTTGATTATCGGATATCACCTCAGCTAGATTACCCAGAGTCTCATCCAATTGAGGTCACGGAGATTCAAATCCTCCTCAGGGCATTTGTTGCGAGAGTAGAGATTTTTGCATGGCCCATTTACCACTCATGCCTTCTCTGTGATTGTTGCTTACATGCTCATGTGCAAACTGAGATCTGAAAGCCTTTGTTGATTAATGGATATCACCTCACCTCTATTGCACTTGGAAAACATGCCAATTGAGGTCACGGAGGTTCGAACCCTCCCGAAGGCATTCGGCTGCAATCCTGTAATTTTTACCTGGCGGGAAAACCCTCCATTATATGTAGGCTGTACCAGCAAATCTATGCATTGCGGGGGAAAGGACTGAAGCCTTCATTGAACATTGGGTAATATTGACAAGTGCTTTGAGTTTTGAATTCTGAGTGATCCCGATATTTCCGAGACACTCAGTTCTCTCAATGTAAGTTCTCCCACATGTCCATCTTCTGGACTGTAATTCCTGATCACTTGTGGACCACACAGAGTCTGAAACACCTTTGTTGATTACTAGAAATCACCCGCCTCAGTGATAGTTGTGACTTACGTGGCCCAGGGTTTGAATCCTCCCAAAGGCATTATTCTTAAAGCCTTCTTTTCTTTTCTTTTCTTTTTATTGAACCTTGAACTCAACAGCCAACTGAATTTGATTGGGTCTACTAGGTCGAATGCTACAATAATTGATAGAGGTGATGTTTTTCTTTACAAACCGCTACTCACAGGATGCCTCTGTTGATTGTTGCTTATATTTTCATGTGCAAACCAGGGTAGCTGAAAGCCTTTGTTGATTATCGGATATCACCTCAGCTAGATTACCCAGAGTCTCATCCAATTGAGGTCACGGAGGTTCGAATCCTCCCAAAGGCATATTTCCTTGGTGAAGTGACAATTTTTGCATGGCCCGTTTACGACTCATGCCTCCTCTGTGATTGTTGCTCACATGTTCATGTGCAAACTGGGGTCTGAAAGCCTTTGTTGATTAATGGATATCACCTCAACTAGATTGCACGTGTGTCAGCCAGTATCAATTGAGGTCATGGAGGTTCGAATCCTCCCGAAGGCACTTGTAATCCAGACTTGCATTTTTTGCATGGCCCATTTACCACTCATGCCTCCTCTGTGATTGTTCCTCACATGTTCATGTGCGAACCGGGGTTGCTGAAAGCCTTTGTTCATTATTGGACATCACCTCAGATGATTGAATGTGGGAAACGTGCCAATTGGGGTCATGGTGGCTCGAATCCTCCCGAAGGCACTGATTTGGGATGCCTGCATTTTTTGGCCTGGCGGGAAAACTTTCCATTATAAGAGGACTGAAACCTTCATTGGGCGCTGAGTAATATTGCCAAGGGCTCCGAGTTCTGGATTCCCAATAATCCCAACATTTCTACCCACTTTTCCCAATGTGAGTCCATCTCCTGGACTGTAATTCCTGTTCAATTGGTTGAGGCCCACACACTGCAGGGTTTCAGAAGCCTTTGTTGATTACTGGAAATCACCCTGTCTCAGTAGGAAGTCTTTCTTTAGTGGACATACATTGTCCGGGGGTACGGAGGTTCGAATCCTCCCGAAGGCATCAGAAGAGACCTGTGGATTTTTTTTTCCCTGTCTGGAAGGCAACAACCTAACTTGTTGAATTTTATTGGTAGCAAGTGCATCTGGTAGGTCGATGTACAATAATTGATAGAGGCATTTTTTCTGCTTTTCAGACTGGTACTTGTGCCTCCTCTGTGATTGTTCCTCACATTTTCATGTGCGAACCAGGGTTTCTGAAAGCCTTTGTTGATTATTGGATATCACCTCAGCATGATTGTAGTTCGGAAAATGTGCCAGTTGAGGTCACGGAGGTTCGAATCCTCCCAAAGGTTTGATCGCGGAGTAATTGTTTTGCTTCCATTATAGGCTGTACCAGCACATATAAGCATTGTGGAGGAAAGGATTCAAGCCTTATTAGGCACTGAGTAATATTGCGAAGGGCTCTGAGTTTTCAATTCCCAGCAATCCCGACCGTGACGAGACACCCAGTTTTGCCAATCAAGTTCTCCCACATGCCCATCTCCTGGACTGTAATTCCTGCCACCTGGCTGAGGACCACACAGTGTCTGAAAAGCCTTTGTCGATTACTGGACATCACCTGCCTCAGTAATAGCTGAATATTGGAAATCCGTGGCCCGGGGGTACGGGGGTTCGAATCCTCGCAAAGGCATGGCCGAATCTCTTCACCTTTTTTGAACAACCTGACTTGTTGAATTTGATTGTGTCTAGGAGGGTGACGTACAATAATTGATAGAGGTGATGGTTTTTCTTTTCAAGACTAGCTACTGTCGATCGTTGTGCAGATTTACGTGTGATCGGATATCGTCTCAGCCGGTTTAAGTATAGGCGCGTCGACCAGTACCAATGAGGTCACGGAGATGAGATTAGAATCCTTCTAAAGGCGATTTCGCAATTTTGGCGCGGGGTCCGGCACATCCATGTATGCGGAGAAGCCTTCACGTGCGAGGAGCTTAAATTATGCAACTTTGTAAGTTCGAAGCCCGCCGAAGGCGCTAGCAGTTTTTTTTGGGATGGTATGGTAAGGTCAGGTCGTATGACCGAGTCTACACAATTCCATGGATGAAACGGAAACGAGCGGCCGTTGGGACGGTTGAACGGGTTTGGTTGGATGGGGTTGTCAGATCGCTTTCAACCACCGGGATTCGACAACGTTTACATACAAAATAAAAATACATGTAGATCCCAATCGTCAGAATACTGGGACTGTTTTTGCGGGCCCTTTCTAGACGGGCCCGAGCTCACGGAGGTTGAAAAGCAACACGGATTCCGAGTTTGCCGGTCCCCGAACAAGCCGGAGGAATGCCGAAGGGTTGATCCTTCCGTTCAACCCCGAATCCTACCCAGTCCGTTTCCCGTATTTCCGCGTTCATTTTCCGCATTGCTGCTTACGGACGACGGGCGACCGTTTTCTAAGCGTCCCGCGGGTCAGCCGACGGACTGTCATCGCGCTGATGACAGGTGTGATGACACTTTGCGGCTGACCTTGTCGGGCTGAGTCACGGCTTGGAGATCGGCGCCAAATCGGCGCCCGTGCCTTCCGCACTCTGTCATGACTATTCTCAATCCCGCCGCTGGGATTCGGAAATGGTCATGGGCCCGGGTTATAAACCGGCCTCTCCCTTTCCCGCCGCTGTCATTTTCCGATGCCCAACGCATGCCCCGCTGACTGCTGCTGAAGCCCCCAAGTCTATATAATCCCGTCGGCGTGCCCCTATTCCAACTTCAGCATGTCAACCTGCAGCATCTGCTACGAGCGCTTTGTCTCGCCTGTGTCTTTACCTTGTGGTGAGTACCCGCACTTCTTAACAAGTGCGAAACAATATTCATCTTCGCAGGCCATTTATTTTGCCGCGAATGCGTCCGCCGCACGGTGGAGTCATCGCTCAAGTCGTTGGGGCCGGAGCATGTTTGCCCGACGTGCCGGGCTCCGTATAGCATCTGTGCGTTCATTTGTCTTACCTGTAAGTATATCTCATGTGCATTGCTGCAGTGACCCTCGACCCGGCGCTCGTCCCGCCGTACCTGCGGCCGCACATCCTCCCGCCCATCCGCCCCGTGTTCTTCGACGACCGGACGCCCGCGACGACGCCTGCGTCTGCGTCCACCTCCGCTTCCACCTCCTCCTCCGCTGCACGCCCCCCTAAACCCTCACTCTCCCCCACCCTCTCAACAATGCCGTCCCCCACCGCCGCCCCCACCGCCGCCCCCGCCTCCCTCGCGCACCTAACAACCATGCCCCCCCTCCCCACGCCCGCCGAGCTCGCCTCCTCTTCCGCCCTCACCTCCTCCTCCGCCTCCTTTGCCGCCGCAGCGGACGCCGAGCTCCCCGCCCTGCGCCTCGCCTGCGCGACCTGGCGCCGCCGCGCCGAGACACACGCCGCCGCGAACGCGAGCCTCCTCTCCTTCGCGCGCGCGGCGCGGGACTGCGCGCTGCGCATGCGTGCGGAGCGGGATGAGGAAAGGAAGCGGTGGGTGGGGCTGAAGCGGAAGATAAAGGAGCGGGAGCGGGGGGAGGCGGGGTGAGTTTTCTTCCCTCCTATTTTGTCTCGAGGTGGTATTCATTTGCGTTTTTTGTTTCTCTCGTGCGCAGCTCCGACTCCGACAACTCCTCCCACACCTCCACCTCGAACAAATCCACCACGGCGCGGGCGCCGCCCCCGCCGCCGCCGCCCACCGGCCTCCCCGTGTTCCTCATGTGCAACCCCCCGCCCGTCGAGCCCTACCCCCTCTGCTTTCCTTCTGCTTCTGGGAATACCCAACAGGAAAGTCGGCTGGGCCCGCCGCTCAAGCGGCGGAAGGCGTGCGGGGTGGCGGCGGCGCAGCCGCAGCCTGTGTTCAAGGTGGAGCCGAAGGAGGGGGGGAAGGAGCAAGAGAGGGAGAGGTACCCGCGTGCGCCGCGGCTCTCGTTCGTGGATATCGTTGGCTAGCATGTCCTTCGCTCTGGTTCCTCCCTTGCGTACTTATCCCGCCGGCGCGCTCGTATGCATCCCCTTGTTGGGTCTCAGGTTCCTTTTGCTTGTTCCGCTAGTAGCGCTAGGTTCGCGCTTATACTTACTTGCGGACATATCGCTTCTTCACTCGTCCCTGCCCGTATACATACACATCATCTTTATCCCCGCACGCACACGCACACATCCCATCGTCATCCCCAGCATAGCATCGCATAGCATAGCATCGCATCCACCCACCCCATCCTCCTCCTCCTCCTCCTCCTCTTCCCCCCTGTAGCACCGAGTCGCACCTATGTACATACTCGCCCACGTATACGCATTGCTCTCGATCCTCCACAATCCTTCCTTAGTTCCTCCCTACAGTCGCCGACCCAGTGATTCCAACCACGCTCCTTAAAATTATTCTGCATGTACTGTAATGGATTCAACTTGATTCCGGTGGCGCGGCGTCGAAGCGTTCAACTTCACGGTCAACGTGAACGTCAGCGTCAAGAAAACAAGGACACCCCCCACCTCCCCCCAAAAAAAAATCCGAGGAGGAACAAACATGCCTTCGGGGGGAGTCGAACCCCCTTTCCCTCGTGCATGTAGAATTGCGTACACTGGCGAATTCGGACGAGGCGATTCCCGTAATCGACGAAGGCTTGTTAAATCCTAGTTTGATGCTCTGCCATGATCCTGAGTCACTCTTGGCCAGGATCGTCTCCGTGCAGGCGGGCTACTGACACGATCGCCTGTGGAGCCGCGAGACTCGGACTCGGAGTCGGTGAGGGGCTGCGAGACTCCCTGGTGAGTTCTAGCTGGTAGTCACTATATACTATTGCCTGCCAGTGCTTGCTCAGGGGATATTCCAGCTCTCCTCGCCTTGGGCGCCGCTCTCGCGCTCCAGGCTCACGCTTTTCTCTGCCCAGTGCCCACCCACCCACTCACCATCCACTTCCTTCAATGCTCATCGTCTATAGTTCAGAAGTACATAGCTGTCGTCCCTATACAATCTTCTTGGGGCTACCAACGCTACGCTACGCGTCGGTAGTCGCCGTCTCCCTAATATCCTCTTTTCATGAGTACGTCGACGTCGGAATTACAAGCTTAGCCCCCACCCTACAATAATAAAACAAAAATACATATAACAAAGATAAAAAGTAGAAAAAAAATCGTAAGCCCTCAAACAGTGCCTTCGGGCGGAGTCGAACCGCCTTGAACTTCCCCGTTTTTGTGTGCATCCGCATGCGTCCTCGGGACGGGGCGGGGCGGGGCGGAGTGATGCAGCCCCGTACTATTTGAATGAATCTTGGTTACGACGTATTGGAGAAATTCACTTCTCCAGACTCGGAGTGCATATAGCTACTTGCAATTGGAGGAATGAGATATGAGGGAGCCGGAGCCCCTTCTACTGGCATGCTGTAAAAAGGCGGAAGAGATGTTCGTATGCCTTCGGGGGGAGTCGAACCCCCTTTGCCTCGTGCATGTAGAATTGCAGAAAGATGAAACTTAATTGGACGAGGTGATTTCGCGTAATCGACGAAGGCTTGTTGAATTTTTGGGGTCGAAGAGT